AATATTGGTTTTGCTTTGTTTCACAGAACTAATCGTTGCCTGGGTTGCGTACGTATATGTGGGGCGGAGCTATCAAAATAGGGGCAAGACCCTTTTGGGGTAGTGGCGTGTTTGTTTTGGTGATTTCAAATATCAACATTGGCTACCAGAAATCACTTACTCTGCCTTTAACAATCTTTGGAAGGTCTTTTGTGGATTTACATGCTAGCATTAAAAATATATTTCCCTATAGAGAAAATGAATGGGCTTTGTTCTTCCAGATCCAACTGCTGTGCACAAAAACTTCATAAAAGTCTTTTTTTTAATCTTCACAGCTTTGATATCAGCAGGATGTTGCAGTAACAACTGCAGGAACGTGAAGCTCTGGGATAGGTGAGTTCTGCTCAAATGACTTCGGCTCTGTTGCAAACCCTAGTGAGCTGCCTACATAGACAGCATTTGAAGGCATCACTGGTGTGCTCCTGAAGTGAAGGCTATTCCAAAACAGTAGGCAGCTAAATTATGCTGCCTTATAAGAAAGAGCAACATCTAAGGCAGCATTCTATCCTTTGCTGATGCATTGCAACAAACTACAGTAAGTGCAGATTTTCAATAAATATGACAAAATGACAAATGTATGTATAATTTATTTAAAGTATAAATGAAAAGATAGAAAAAAGTGCTAAGTGATTACAAATTGAATTATCTTACCAAATATTTGTGCGTTGTATGTGTTTTTTGTGCTTATAGAATATCTAATTGTTTACTTTAATTGTTTATTGTTTACTTTAGCAACAATATTAGCGGTGATGAGACTCACAATTTTTTTGGGTCAATGTTATTGTTAACAAAGTAAAACTGTATCTTTGTTAATCAAAATGAAGCTGAAACTAAATAAAGTATAAATATTAGATGAAAATCTTAAAAAGCTTTGAAATTTAAATTGAAGTACTAAAATTATTACAACTGAAAAAATGTAAAGCGGAATGATTAAAAAAAGAATTACAAAAGCGCACAAATACTTCCACTTAAACTGAAATGAAAATATAAAAAGCTAAATCAATATATTAATAAATACTATAACAGTATAAATAATATTAAAATAACATTCGGGTCCATTTTGTAGCTTATTGTGGCCAAGAACTGCCTCAAAGGAAGATGCTTGACAGACATATAAAGTAACCAACCACATCGTTTGGCAAATGGAACCAACGATGCCACAATTACAGACCAACAAACTCATTGAAATAGTTCTACAGGTCTACAGAAAACAACACGTTGCAGAGAAAGAGAATCTTTCAAAAATCTAAGCACAAATCCAGAGACTAGTTCTTCCCACCAAAGTGCTCATTATATTAAGTATGTACACCGAATTTTATTTCCTGGCAGACTGACCTGCTCACCCTGACTCCCGGAAATTGTGAAGCAGTCAGAGTTCTGTCTGATCTGATTTTCACAAGTGCGTTCCAGTTTTGTGTGCAATATGCATGAACAGACTGTGCCGTCTGAGGCTGATACTAATGGGGTTGCTGCCTGTATAGAGCATTTCAATTTTCATTTCAGTTAGAGGGCTGTCAAAGAAGAGACGTTACACAGCGAGGCAGCTTACTATAGTTAAAAACAGAGCCCACATGTCCCCATGGTCCATGCATGTATGCATCCATATGTGTATGAATACAACGGTAGAGGTGACCTTGTCTATCCGTGATCTCGTAAAGCTGCCCAGCAGGGGCAGAACATGGCTTTGTTCATATTTAATAGCTGAAAGGCAGACGTTTATCCTTAGGGATTACTCACCAATCCCATCAAGATTTTCAATTTCTTGTTGTTTGTTGTAATTAAAGACACCAACTTCCATGCCATACAGGGATGATTTCTGTAATCCTCTTGTAAAACCTGTCATTAAATGAACAGTTTTGTCATTTTGTAAGTGAAAAGGTTGTCATCACTTACCTTCATGTTCAGTCCCCTCCCTGTATTATTTCCTTTCCTCTGTAAAACAAACAAATATTATATATACTGCCAAGGTCCCAAAAAACCCTTTGCTGGAGTTCTCAAGTCTTATTTATGCGTGCATTCAGTCGACAAAAGCAAGTTTGAAAAACGCTGCATGCACATCATATGTTTGAAATACGGCAGAGGCACTTCAGAAGACTTGAAATATAGAGCACAAGTCGTATGGACTTCATTTATGGTGCCTTTTTGCATATTTTGGAGCTTGACAGTATAAATCACCATCCATTTTACTTGAATTAATAACTAAAGCCCTCCTGAAGATCTCTTTTTTTTGTTGTTGTTGTTTTGTTTCACAGAAAAAAGAAACTAATACAGGGTGGGAACAAAACAGAGGTTAGTAAATGATGGCACATGTATGTATGTAAAGACCACATTAAATCGCTTCGACAGTTTTCTGTCCAGTGTTGACATAGGCTGAATTCGGAATAGCAATCTACTCTTATTATTTCTGCCATATTGCATAAATTGTAAGAGTAGTATGCTAGTATACAATTCCAAATTAAGCTACTTTTCTTACTGAAGAAGTAAAAAGCTAATCGGCTGCTGGTATTAGGGGCATTTGATGGGACAAAAATCGGTGTAGGGCAAAATGGCCGTTTATGTGCATTATTTTAAGTGCGCTTAATTGTACTGAATCTGCACTTCAAATTTTAAAAGTCTATTTTAAAAAACTGTACTTGCAGATAATATAATACTTAAAAAGTAAATTTTTTTGTGACAGTTTCTTAAGACACTTAAGTGCACTTTTAAAAAGTGCACTTTGTAATACTTTGTACACTTATTTTGATGTTGACTAACATACTAAAGCACTTGATTATAATTATAATTTGATTGTTACTGTATTTTAAGTGTAGTAAAACTCAACTTTATCATTACAATAGTATAATATTTAAATACACGACGTACAAGTTTCAACAGAAATGACACAATAAGAACAGACATGGAAAAGTTCAAAATTCAAAACTGTTCTACAAAAGTAACGCACTGAATGTTAGTTCGTTTTTCCAACAAAGTGCTCATAATATTAACCAGGTACAGGTAAAGTATATTTTAGTTACCATAAATGCTTTCGACTGTGGACTTACACATATTGCATAGACAATAGGAATAACTATGAAATTACTTAAAAAGTAGTGTACTTACAGTAAGACCTTAATATACTTAAGTTCTACTTAAGTGGGTGAAAAAGCACTCTTAAGTTCAAATAATCACACTTAAAATAAATGTAAATTTTAATACAATTTAATTTAATTGTAAATGTAATTAAGTGTCTGAAAATGGTATGCACTTAAGTATATTCTTTTAAGGCCAATTTATTAGTTTTTCCAACATATTGCTCATAATATTAACAAGGAATAGGTAAAGTATATTTTAGTTACTATAAATGCTTTCGACTGTGGACTTATACATATTGGAAAGACAATAGAAATAATTATGAAAAAGTACACTGTAAAAAATGATTGTGATTTTAACAGTAAAAGACTGTAAAAATGCTACAGTAAAAACCTGTTAACTGGTTAACAGTAAGTTTCCATACTATATTCGGTGAATAAATGTAATTACATTTAATGTGATTCTACAGTAAAATACTGGTTTTTGGAAGTGAAAAAGAAAAAGCCATTGTATAATTTACAGAGAAAAACTGTAAATTGACACTCCCAGAATTCCCAGCATGACACTTCATAGTTGATGTTTTTTTTAGTACTTATATATGTTGGTTTATTAACATTACATCAGTTAATGAAATACGGTATTTTACCGTAAATGTCACAGATTTTTTTTTACAGTGTAGTGTACTTACAGTGAGACCTTAATATACTTAAGTTGTACTTAAGTGGGTGAAAAAAACACTTAAGTTCAAATAATCACACTTAATGTAAATTATAATACAATTCAATTGAATACAATTCACATTGCACCGACAGACGCAGCCAGTGCCAATAGCCGACCCAACAAACTTCAATTTCAACATGTTCAGTTGGCAAAAACAAGTGCCGACCAACGCCAACAGACACCAACAGGGGTAACACAATGATCAGACAAAACCCGACGAACATGCCTGTTGGTGTTTGTTGGCATCTGTCGGTGCAATGTAAATTGACTTTAAAAGCATATTAGTTTTGTAATAAATACTATTTTTAAAGGTATGCTCACGTGTACTTCTTTTTGTACTAGGGGGACATCAATATTTTAATGAAAGGTTGTAAATTTTAAATGCATTTATGGGCTAAAAGTTTATTTAGCCAAATTTTAAGAGTAGACTAGCATGCAGATGGTTTCAAACTCAAAAAAATCCTACTTAGGTGATTTATTGCTGAAAATTACCACAGCTTAAAGCGAAATTTCTGTCTCCACAGTTTTGATGGCTCCTCTTGACCACGCCGTTGCTTGGAGGCAGGGGCCCCTGGAGCCCCGCTCTCACCAGGCAGATTTTCCACCCCTTCATCTTGTATGCGATGGGCCGAGCAGGCAGGCTCCATTTGAGTTTTCATAACAGCAGTCGCTTTGTGGACCATCATTTCAACAGGGACTGGAGCGAGACGCAGGATGTTTTCCCCACCCGTTCGGGTGAAAGACGACGCTCGCACAAACCACAGAAACAGACACACCCACACACGACTAAGAGAATCTAAATGTCTCCTGTGGTTTACAGATGTTTAACAGTACTGCATTTGGGTAATCAAACACTCGAACCGTCCCTCTCTCTATATCGGTGTCTCTCTGTTTCATTCTGCGTAGCAATAGTACACATGAAACACAATGCTGTGGCTTCTCTGAAGGTGCTTCCCTGCCCTTGATGTTTATTTATGCAGTTTCTTTTCAACCAAAGCTATTAGAAATATCTCTATTGTTCATTTTGCATCTATGATGGAGTATCAGTATCATGTTTGCTAGTTTTTCCATATCTTGGATTGTTTTTTACATGACTGACACCAGTGCAAGATGTTTGTGTACAGTTTATGAACACCAACGGAAGCCGAATGGACTCTGTACATGTTGTCAGTGATTGAATAACCTCATCAGCGTTTTCACTGATTCTGTGTGTGTATGTGTGTGTGTTTATTGGCTTTATTATTCCTTCCCTCCAAGCTCCTGTATACAAGCTAATGAGGTGTTTCTTCATGTTGTTTTATATACAGAAATACAGCATAGTACATATAGTAAATTAATGGATTAGTTTTATATGCATATAATGACTATTATTTTTGACTTACAGTTATTATTATAACAATAATAATATGAATATATCTATGTGCAAAATATTAAAGGATTTTCATTATGTATGCCTGCGTGGCATTTATTATTTGTTTCACTAACACTAAAGCACAAAAGCTTTAGTCAGCAGTCTGCAGGCGCAGCTAGATTCCCAAGTTGCTAATTCACTTTGTTTTGATGTAAATTAGACATGTTCTGCCATTTCAGGATGATAGAAAATTAGTGAAACCATCCGATTTGTTTTTAAATCTTCTTTATTTTTTACCATAATATCTTTATTTCTTTTTTGTGTCATGAATACATTCATATTTTCTCAACTTAAAGGATTTTCATTATGTACGCTTGCGTGGCATTTATTATTTGTTTCACTAACACTAAAGCGCAAAGTTTTAGTCAGCAATCTGCAGGCGCAGCTAGATTCCCAAGTTGCTAATTCAGTCTGTTTTCATGTAAATTAGACGCGTTCTGCCAATTCAGGATGATAGAAAATGAGTGAAACCATCCGATTTGTTTTTAAATGGTCTTTATTTTGTCATAATATCAGTGAGTTCTCACAAGGCTTGATGTATTTTTTGTGTCATGAATAAATTCATATTTTCTCAACTGTTACACCCATGAAATCAGAAGCTTTTCGCTTTGGTTTTGAGATTGGGCTTCAGGGCCGACCTCAATCCGCTTCATCATTTCTCAAGCAGGGAGGCTCCAGTCGGATTTTAGTTTCTGAGCATTAGCCTGTGATGAAATCAATTGATCCTCTTATTGATGCCAGAAACACTGTTTAGATAAGAACTGTGCTGTGCTTTAAGATCCCTGTTAAAAAGGTCTTTTATCATAGAGCTGCATAGATCTTTATGTTCTTTGCAGATGCTTTCTTTTAGTTTCTTAAAAGAGGTTATAGAGTTTGCAATTCACGGTGGCTTGCACCCAGGTTGCAACTAAAATCAAATCCCTTGTGGGTCTATATGGCTGTGTTTGAAATGTAAAACTAGTGTACTATTCACTGAATACTATACAGAATATGCTGCCTTCTATTCTTAAGAAAAAAAGTGAAACAGTGTGCATTATGCCACAACAAATGTTTCAAACAGTAGTAGACATGCTATAGTGAAATTCTCATCACATTGTGTTTTTAAATTTGGTTGTGTCTAAAAATGTCTTAAAAGCTGTTAGCCCAATCAAATCATGAATCAAACATTTTACAATTTGAGACTGTAAATTGTAATTATTTTATTATGCACAGTGCATACTATATACTGCAGAACCATACAGAAGTCTTATTTGCTAGAAGATTTTTCTGCCACTGTGGAAAAGGATGTGAATTCTGTGGAAACATATCACATATCTATGAATAAATATCCGTTTCAGTTTCAAACAAACTGATCCACTGTAGACTGTATGCCTGATGTGGAGAGTAAAGGAGAGAGAGGCAGCGCAGTGTGATTACGACGCATCCTTGCCAGTGCAGGCGAGCTGACAGAGGGCTGCTCTCTCAGGTTCCCTGAGCTGCGCCCAGTTCCGCTCTGCTGCATTGCAGTACAGTAAAGGAAAGATGTGAATGGTAGAGAAGTGAGGAGAACAGTAGGTAAGCAGAGATGGCAGAGATGAGCACAGGAATGGTGGAGAAAAGATTAATGTGATCGAGGAAGTCTGAGCGATTAGAACTGTAGTGGGATAAGGAACAGAAAAGTTATGATTAAAGGGAAGGTGAAGTAGAGAAGTTGTGTTAGAGGGATGGTGGTTTGACAGAGGAGTGTAAATTTGTGGTAAGGAGGTGCAGTAAAGAAGTTAAATGTACAGAGGAGAGGAGATTATATGATTATAGGGAAGAAAAATTATGATCAGATGGCAGGAGGTGTAATAGAGAAATTGTTTAAAGGGGAAGGTGCATTCGAAGAAATTTAATTGGAAGGAAGGAGGTGAGGAGAGGAGTTAGGACAGCAGAGAAATAGGTGCAGTATAAGACTTATAATTGAAGGACAAATGTGCAGTAGAGGGGGTATTATAAAAGGGAAGGAGGCGTAAAAGGTGGAAAAAAGGAGTTATAATTTGAGGGAAGGTGCAGCTGATGAGTTATGATAAAAGACAAAGGCACAATACAGGTGTTACGATTGGAGAGAAGGAGGTGCAATAGGGGAGTAATTGTTTTAAAGTAGGAGGTGCAGTAGCTGATTTATGATTAGAGAGAAGGAGGTGCAGCAGAGGAGTTCATAGATATAAAAAAGGAGGTGTAATTAAGGAGTAATGGTTATAGAGGAGGAGGAGCAAAATAAGTTATGTTTAGAAGGAAGGAGGTGCAATAGAGGAGTAATGATTAAGATATTTGTAGTTGTGGAGTTGTGATAAAAGAGAAGGCACAATGCAGGAGATATGATTAGAGGGAAGGAGGTGCAGTAGAGAAGTACTAGTTTTAAGGAAGGAGGTGCAGTAGCTGAAATATGATTAGATAGAAGGAGGTGCACCAGAGGAGTTAATCATTATAAAGAAGGAAGTGTAAATGTGGAGCAATGCTATAGAGGAGGAGGAGCATAAGCGGAGTTATGATTAGAGGGAAGGAGGTGCAGTAGAGGAGTAATAGTTTTAAGGAAGGAGGTGCAGTAGCTGAAATATAATTACATAGAAGGAGGTGCACCAGAGGAGTTAATCATTATAAAGAAGGAAGTGTAAATGTGGAGCAATGCTATAGAGGAGGAGGAGCATAAGCGGAGTTCTGATTAGAGGGAAGGAGGTGCAGTAGAGGAGTACTAGTTTAAGGAAGGAGGTTCAGTAGCTGAAATACGATTAGATAGAAGGAGGTGCACCAGAGGAGTTAATCATTATAAAGAAGGAAGTGTAAATGTGGAGCAATGCTATAGAGGAGGAGGAGCATAAGCGGAGTTCTGATTAGAGGGAAGGAGGTGCAGTAGAGGAGTAATTGTTTTAAGTAAGGAGGTGCAGTAGCTGAAATATAATTACATAGAAGGAGGTGCACCAGAGGAGTTAATCATTATAAAGAGAGAAGGGTAAATGTGGAGCAATGCTATAGGGGAGGAGGAGCATAAGCGGAGTTATGATTTGAGGGAAGGAGGTGCAGTAGAGGAATAATTGTTTTAAAGAAGGAGGTGCAGCACACAGTTGATTTCTGATTAGAGAGGAGGCACAGCAGAGAAGAAGAGTTAATGATAAAAAGGAGGTGTAATTGAGGAGTAATGGCTATAAAGGAGAAGGAACATATAAGGAGTTATGATTAGAAGGAAGGAGGTGCAGCAGAGCAGTTATGATTAAAGGTACAGTTGAGGAGTTGAGAGGGGCAGAGTACAATAGTTTTGATTATTTGGAAGGGGTGCAATAAATGTGTTGCAATTAGACAGCCTAGGAGAGGAGTTATGATTGCAAAGAAGGAGGCTTATAATTATAACTAAGAAGGTGCATAGTAACAGTTGAGTGGATGGATAAAGAAAAAGAGAATAATGGAAACAGAGAATAAAAAGTTTGAAGGAACCTGTCATTGCTCCAAGGAAGGGCACTAGTGCAGTCTGGGCATTCCAACAAGGTCGGAGCAGGTCAATTGCTCAATCTGCATACGGAGCCCAGCACAGAATCTATAAATACTGAGATACAGCACAGGATCTGTTTTTGATGAAGGTGGCCTGACTGCTCAAGGTTTTATAATGTGATGGAGACGTCAGTCTGTGAGGAGCATCACACAGAGAACAGTTACAGTGTTACAGTGTTTTCTACAGCATGCAATATTTGTTCATTTAAATTTAAAGGTCAACATTTGACATTTTGCCAAATATATCAACTGACTGTTTAATTGTGTTGCCTTAAAAATTTTAGTTGAACTTCAAAAGTCATATTTGAAAGTTGGGACACAACCAAGAACAATTTTTTTGATTGAACCTTTTTTATCTTATGAATCAAAACTGACAAATTTGATAAGATCTGCCACAATAAATGACATTTCCCATTAAAAAAGTTATTTTTTTAAAGAAGTTTAAAAGGTCAAATTTTCTATAGCCGAGAGCTAATTTACATAAAATGTACACATGGTGGTTTATAAAATTCTTTCTGAAGGTCAGAATCAATTATCTGTGCCTATTTAAAATGCCACCAAAATTTTCAAACTTTTTTCAGTTTGTTTGGAATTACTGTATATCTCTGCACATTTACCACTTAATCAAGGATTTGTTTTATTCTATAATTTGTCACCATGACCAATTGGAATGGCTTAGATCATGCAATACATCCATCTAACAGGACACTAACAACCCCACCCTTATAAAACTTAAAGGATCAAAAATGGAGCTGGACTGGTCTCAATAACAATTCACGCAAAAGAGATGATGCACACATACATAGCCAAATTCACACGCATGAAACATTATTCACATGCACATGATATGTTCACAAAAGACGTGCAAAATAAAAGTATTAGTAAAATAGGTAACACTTTAGTATAGGGACCAATTCTGACTATTAACTAGTTGCTTATTAGCATGCCTATTAACATATTGGCTGTTTATTAGTTTAGAACACATTTTGTGCATGACCATATTCTATATACCTAATCCTACCCAATATCAAAAACGTAATTTACTGCTTATTAATTAATAGTTAGTTGTTAAGAGATTGTGGCAAACGTCGTAGTTAATGGTTGGTGATAGTGAGAATTGGACCTTAAAATGAAGTGTGACCGTAAAATACATTGCACAAACACAAAACTGTAGCGGAATGTGGTTGTAGAGAAGCGCACGACGATGGAGTGAATGGAAATAGTCTTTAATTCCAACTTAAACACAATGGACAGGAGAATCACCAGGAGAACGTACAACCACAACCACAAACCAATACAGGACAAAGGAACTCAGGAGAACACAGGACTTAAATGAA